TCCAGTTTACAAAATAAAAATAAAATGAAAATTTGTTCGCCTTGCCAGAAAAAGGCAATTAGTATTTTTATTGTTAAATTTGTAACCGCGGTTTTACATCTAAACAGGGAAATATGGGACGAGGCTCGTATTAGCAAAACCAATATTTATTACAGATAAATATATTTATTTTGAGGAAATCAACCAATAATTACAAAACAAAATTGAAAACGCATTTTCAAATGTTGAAAGTGTATTGAGAAAATTTTGCTTTTATCAATTTTTTTCAATAAACATAGAATTTTAAGCACTAACCTATGAATGCTAAGGGAGTTTCTATTCCTAATCATATATTACAATTATCTATTCATTTATAGTGATTATAAAGAAACAAAAATAATTCTTCAATAAATTTAGAATTTTGCTTATCTACTCTTTTTGACAATTTTAACAAAGTAGTCTGCTGTTAAAGTCATAGAGGCCCCGTTATCTTTATGTGCCCAGGGCTTTTAATAGGTTAAAGAAGTTCCTGAGGGTCATTTGTTTATATGTGTCACTATCTAACAAAGTTGCCTAGAATGCCTACTAACGACCAATAATGACGGCAACTCAACAAATGAACCCGACTAGAAATTTGGGTTCGTTTTTTATAAGATCCCTGTTAGGTCAACCGAGTTCTTCACTTGGCCCGAATGAAGCAACCGAAGAAGACCCTAATTAGAAAAATAACGCACTTTCTTGTTCGCACCTAAATAGGAAAGCCCAATTTATGTAGGTACCAATAGGGACTTTATCCAGGCCAAATCAGGACCTTTAATTAGCCTAATCAGAAAATTATTCAGGTTTGCCTAATAACTGATTATTATTAAAACTATAATTGGGTTTAATTAGGGCCTAAAAAAGTCAAACTTTAGTGAATATCAAAATTAAAATTTCTAGTCTTTCTGTCTTAATGTTCGACGCAAACTGAACAAGTTTATATGAACTGATATTATTATTATTATGCAAGTTTATAAAATTATTTCATGTATACGTCCACTCATTGGGAATGTACAAGACAAACCCAATCAGTTATTACGTTATTACCAACCATGCACTTCATAAGAAAGATCTGCTTTTGTTCAGGCTGACACTATTTCAACTGACCTTATGAGAACCTACATTTGATGTTTGCGTCGACGACAGTTACAGTGGGGTAATCAAAAAGAAAAACGAAATCATGATATGGGCTCCTTTAAACGAAAAATAATATTTCCTGTGTCGCTAATGATTTAAGTATCCATATCTATCTAAAGATGTATAGGCATACTCTGTTGAGGATACCGTGAATGCCGATGAATACATTTCAATTCTGCAATAGTACATGAAGCCTACCTTAGAAGAATCTAAGAAGTCTAAGAGTAGGACATGAATTGATTTTTTAACACGACGATGCTGCGTATCATACAGCCGAACTGACTATTGGAAAATCATATTTCCAAAAATGATATTCCACTTTTCAAAATGAAAAAGTCATCTACGCTTATAGACTGCAAGAATAATACCAGAATTAAGGTCCCGGTTTCAAAATTTATGGAATAGCCTTACACCAAACGATTGTCATCAGGAGTTACGCAGTGGTAGAATAAATTTTAAAGGAAAATGGATAATTTTGTTGGTTATTTCCGTAGTAGTACCTATTCCATAGACAACCATTTCGTTTTCTTTTTGGAAAACCGTATTAGGACCTGATGTTTAGTCAGGAATGCGAACGAATGGTAAAGTATTCCCGGCTTTACACTAATTTATCGACACCCCCTAGTTATTGATACATTAGGCTTTTAATACCAAGTATGTTCCTATTAAGAATACATTGATTATCCGGTAGGCACTATTTGCGTTAATTTAAAAGCAAAAAATAGTGTTTAATAAAAATTTCTTATGGATCGATCACTGTGATAGCCCATTTTGCGTCGACAAAACATTCTTATTTTGAAGCAAATTCTGAAATCAAATACTGTCATGCCTCAAAGTCAATAAATAGAACACATATTCTGTATTTAATATTTATTACAACTAAAGATAATTAAATTGAGGGTGTCGGTAGATAAACTCTTGTGAACAAAACGATAAGCTGATGTTGTTACATTTGATAAATCTCAAATTTTCACCAACATTCTTGAATTCATCAGAAGATCACTGCGAATATATAAATGAGAATTTAAAAATTACAATTTTGTTAATCTTACTTACATGTTGTACATAAAATTGAAAAATTGGTTTAAGTGTAATTTACATATTTAATTCATTCCCATTTGTTTGCAGTTACATTAATTATGCCTATATTAATTTAATTGACAACATATAAGTAAAATCAACAAAATTGTAATTTTCAAATTCTCATTTATATATTCGTAGTGATCTGATGAAGTCAAGAATGTTGGCGAAAATTTGAGATTTAATAAATGTAACAACATCAACCCATCGTTTTCTTCACAAGAGTTTACCTACCGACACCCTCAATTTAATTCAACTAGTACTGTACTTACTAAGATCAACTTTATTTATTAAAACGTTGTTAATTATAGCTCCAAGCTTCAAAGTCACTGCAAGTAGAATCTTTGCGTCGGCTTTCGTCCATTTAATATATTGTCAGCTTTGAGACGCAAGAAATATGTAGTAATAATGCAATGTCAGTGGACAGCTACTATATTCCATTTTAATTATTATTTAACATAAGCTAATTACTTGTACCTATTGTTTCTTTTGTAAAAAAGTATTAAAGGTAAATATGCATATATGTACTACAGGTATATTCATTTATAATAAAATAATTTTGAGTTTGTAAAGCCCAGTATAATGCATAAGTGGAGAACTTCAAAATTTTTATGTCCTTTGATCTTTAAATTGTAATCAATTTCGAAAATAATGGCAAATACGTTTCTGATATCCACAATTATTTTCCTGAACTTTTCCAAATTTATCAAATGTTTTGACAATTACCTGTAGGTTTTCCAGGCTAGTCGACATCCTGACGAAAATAGGGGTAGTTTATCTTCCAAAATTGTTCTTATGATTAAATCGAATTGAGCAAATTTTAGGTTTTGTAGGTACAGCTGAACCATCGAGAGGTGGCCCTGACTTTTTCACTTGCGGCGCAGATAGGAAAGGATGAAAAAGAAAAGGATTTCGCTCACCCTCAGGATAAATATCGCAATTCAGAAGGGATTGGTAATTGGGAATCTTTATATGTTTTTATTCTGCTTTTATTTAGTTGTCTACCGTATTGATTATGAATATTACATCTGGGCATCGAGTTCTTAGCTCGAAGACGAGCTGAACTTAAATAATTTATCCTAATTTACCTTACAATCTAACGGACCAGGTCCAAATTGTTCAACAGTAGGTAGTTCAGTAAGTCATACAAAAACAAATAGTCGAAAACTGACACAAAATAATATTTGATGTATTTATTAGTTCGTTCCAGTTTTTGTCCAAAACTATAATTTTTTATATTCATACAGTTAGATGTTTGATTGAAAAGCAAATAAAAATTCATTTAACAAATAGTTATAATTTACTGAATTAATGAACTCAATTGCTTCAGTTTTTGTACAACTCTTCAACTCGTCCAAAACAGATCCGTATAACGTTTTATTATTTCAGTATGTATTAAATAAGTACCGTAGACAAATACAAAAACTTTATCATGCCAGAAACTATATAAAAACTTACTAGAAAGTCATTTATCCTCACTTATATATGTACGATGATTATTTTTAATAGAGAGACCATGAAATTGGGCTCTGGAGGCATCAGTCAAATTTAGACGTATAGACCTACAAGCACACCTGGGTAAAATGTATTAACTATAGGCATATTTTAGGTACCCACGGGTTAATTTCATTTTGATTTAAAAGTGCAATACCTAATAACAGCTTCTTTTAGTTCATACGTTTTGATTGTTATATTTTTAACATTGAACATTTTTAGGTAGATATTTATTAAGCTTTAATTGTAGGTAGATATGTCATTGGTATATAAGCTTTATAAATTCTTCTTAAATAGTTTTGTAAACTAATATTCCTGTATTGTAAACTACAATTTCACTTTTTGTCAATAAGTGTAGGTATAACGGGTTCAGCAATGTTATACTAGGAAGTCAATCTTTTTTGGGGCAAGGATGCTATAGGTACCTAAGTATAAAAATAAGTAAGTACTTAATTTGTTTTTGTAAATTTCATACAACACATTACACTACTTATACCTAAATTATAAAAATGTTCTTTAAACATTTTGAAAGTGACAATAACTGAATAACCATCAAATATTAGGTAGATATTCGAATATTTAAGGATCTGAATATTTAAATTTTAAACAATTTTTTTGTCAAATTATTTACCTCCCTATCTGCGCATTTGAATACCTATTTATTAGTAACAATTTAGTTTTTCATAGTGCCGAACATACAACTGGTACGTACGAGAATTAAAAGAAAAGTAGTGAAAAATCTTTCATTGGAAATTTCAATTACCTACATCAATATTTTGTTTCACGTTTTCCAACTGTTCTCCGTTAGATCGGAAAAGGGAATAAAAAGAAAGAGGAAATAAAAATCCCTTCTGGAGTAATAACATTAAAACCGCAGAGTTGTCTATAAACACAGGTAGACAATCGGCTAATATCGCGAGGGTCTGGCTGAGCCTGTTAAGCTCCACCTAGAGGTCGGACCCTCCTTAAGCCCGCCTCGTCTCGACAAACTTGATCAAACAAACAACCTGAGAATAAAGGATCGCGGCATGCGTAATTACACCCGCCCAGGTGTTTTTGCGGCGGGACGGGGGGTTCAGAAAACGGTCTAACGAAAAGGGGAAGGGGGGGGTCTTCTAGCAAAGCGAAGTATGCTGTCATCGAACCGCGCGGCGCGGCGCAAGGGGTGGGTGGTCGCGGCCACTAAAAAATGGCAGGACCGAGTATGTACGCTTCACGGCGCTGATGCATTCCTTGATAGCGTCTCGACGGAGCAGTGGTCAGTCGACGCTCCCGCGAAACATCTACGGAAAAAATCTGAACGCTCACAATAGAGACAGTGTCCGCAGTGGACACACAGAGAACCGAAAGTTCCAGCAAGGTTTTGCTTCGAATCAATTACTGTTCGGTGACGGCGAGAAGTGTTCGGAACGCCTCCCCCGAGTGGGAGCGGCCAATATCCACGCTCTCGCCGCGTATCAAACTAATCTTGTTAAATGTGAGTCAAAAGATTCTTAATATTCACTCTGTCAAAACATCTTGCTTGCCGTTTTCGTTGCGGCATATCGTGTGAACCGATTGACGCGACACGCGTTCGTCAGTAAAGTGCCGCAGTTTTATACCTATACGTTTACGGTCAATAAATAATGACTATTAAGTTCGAGTAGTAGTACCTATTGGACAATCAAATACTCTCACTCGTTGACTATTTATTGGGCATTTATTTGTATATTTCATTTAAAAGTATGCGGTCGTCAAGTTTAACATTGTACAGTGGCTGTCAATGCGACAAAGGAAATCGGTGAAACGCATCGTTGCAACGGCCACAAAAAGACCGGTGTTTGGTGATGGTGATCGTGAGGTGATGGAGGAGAACTGTACCATGCGGCCGTGTAGCACGGATTTTAGCATAGCCGCGATTATGTCTAGGCATGGACGCACAAGAACTTCATCCAATAAGTGCAAGGATCGGGACCCTCCAAACTGTATTTCACCGCTAGGTAAGTAAAATGCTAGGAATTTAGTTATATTGAATAAACATCTAATGAACACTTGGTTCTGCTTCTGGTACCTACAACTTTAATAAAATCAGCTAATGTAATTGTTTCAAACAGTCATTTTAAAGGGTACAGTTGGTATAAGTAATTCTAGTAATAAGGTTTTAATTTAAACGTTTACAAGGGTCAGATTTAACTATATATCTACAATTACCTAGCGAAAAAAGCGAATCTAGATACATCAGCTAAAGTATTAGTAGTTGGGAATTTGAAATATAATTTATTTCAAAATTTTGAGTAGATTTAGTTTTCACTCGTTTTGTTTGTGTAATGTTTTCCCATTGTTGATACTTAGATAGTAGATTTGGCGACCCCGATTAGTTGTTTTATCAGAATGTAATGTTTTTTCGTTAGCGTTTCCATAAAAAATGCTGCCAGTCGTCTAACCGGGTTCTAAGTCAGATACCTGGCGAGGTTTTTTATTATTATTATTATTAAGCACTGCGTCAAAGCTCTATCTGGGCTCATAATTAGATGACTTAATTCTTTATCGAATATAAGGGCAGGCATTTACTGAAATACTTGATTGAGGATTTAGATTTCTGGTCAAGTGCTAGGTTTGCAATTTAATAGAGTAGGTTCTTACTAGATCGAGCGATTAGGTTTTAACCCTATCGGGTACTAAGCAAATAGGTATTTTATTTAAATACAATAACAATAATATCTAATACCTAATAAACATATTATAGGTACACCTTATATTGTAATTATAAGAGTACATTTTATAAACATATAGTATTCTGGGTATTTTGAAACTGTAAAAAGAGTAGGTCATTCTTAATGGCTTTTAATTTTCTTTTATTTCCATATAAATTCAATTCAATAAATACAATAATCGTAAAACATTTAAATGCATAACGTACAAAACAAGATAGCTATCTACCTACCTACATATCTATATTTTTCTTAAAGAAATTATTTTTATTTAGTTGTCTACCGTATTGATTATGAATATTACATCTGGGCATCGAGTTCTTAGCTCGAAGACGAGCTGAACTTAAATAATTTATCCTAATTTACCTTACAATCTAACGGACCAGGTCCAAATTGTTCAACAGTAGGTAGTTCAGTAAGTCATACNTTAAAATAAATTATAAAGAGGGAAATTATTACCATTTCTTCCATCTTCATCCAAAATTAATCCTAATTTATTAAATCTATTCAGGTATATCAAGATTCTCTAAAAGGGTTAATTTTTACCTTTTATTAGATACTACATGTCTACGAAATAAGAACAACTGGATTTACCCTATCTCAATGTACAGTGAATTCGTAAATTATTCTAAATCAATGGTAACAATAATTGATATGCCTACTCCAGATGGTTTTCGTGGTGATTCATAGATGGCACTACAATACCTTTCCTGAATCCTACTCCTTAAACATTTCGGTCAGCAGAAAGTAGATATAACTGAAACTTACAAGGGATCAAAAATAATAATCTATTTTTTTTAAATAAAAGCGAATAAGCAAATTTGGTATAATGCCATGCATGTATCTGACCAAAACAGCAGAGGGCTGCAGTTTTAGCATCCTCACTCGAAAAGATGGTTTCAACTAATAGGACTGGGAATTGTAGGTATTAGAAATACTCGAATATATTCAGATAGGTACTGATTTGAGTGTCCATAATTCATAGATATTTAAATATTAAATTAGATATTTGATTAATCAAAATTTCACTATATCCAAATATCTAGATAGGTACTCACCCACTCATTTAAAAGATCGGTTGCTTACATACTTTGGGAATTGGGCTTAATTGTAAATCGTTTGACCTCGCTTGGGTGCTCTACGATATACATAGGTATAGACAAGCATTGTTTACCAGCATACAACTGGTACGTACGAGAATTAAAAGAAAAGTAGTGAAAAATCTTTCATTGGAAATTTCAATTACCTACATCAATATTTTGTTTCACGTTTTCCAACTGTTCTCCGTTAGATCGGAAAAGGGAATAAAAAGAAAGAGGAAATAAAAATCCCTTCTGGAGTAATAACATTAAAACCGCAGAGTTGTCTATAAACACAGGTAGACAATCGGCTAATATCGCGAGGGTCTGGCTGAGCCTGTTAAGCTCCACCTAGAGGTCGGACCCTCCTTAAGCCCGCCTCGTCTCGACAAACTTGATCAAACAAACAACCTGAGAATAAAGGATCGCGGCATGCGTAATTACACCCGCCCAGGTGTTTTTGCGGCGGGACGGGGGGTTCAGAAAACGGTCTAACGAAAAGGGGAAGGGGGGGGTCTTCTAGCAAAGCGAAGTATGCTGTCATCGAACCGCGCGGCGCGGCGCAAGGGGTGGGTGATCGCGGCCACTAAAAAATGGCAGGATCGAGTATGTACGCTTCACGGCGCTGATGCATTCCTTGATAGCGTCTCGACGGAACAGTGGTCAGTCGACGCTCCCGCGAAACATCTACGGAAAAAATCTGAACGCTCACAATAGAGACAGTGTCCGCAGTGGACACACAGAGAACCGAAAGTTCCAGCAAGGTTTTGCTTCGAATCAATTACTGTTCGGTGACGGCGAGAAGTGTTCGGAACGCCTCCCCCGAGTGGGAGCGGCCAATATCCACGCTCTCGCCGCGTATCAAACTAATCTTGTTAAATGTGAGTCAAAAGATTCTTAATATTCACTCTGTCAAAACATCTTGCTTGCCGTTTTCGTTGCGGCATATCGTGTGAACCGATTGACGCGACACGCGTTCGTCAGTAAAGTGCCGCAGTTTTATACCTATACGTTTACGGTCAATAAATAATGACTATTAAGTTCGAGTAGTAGTACCTATTGGACAATCAAATACTCTCACTCGTTGACTATTTATTGGGCATTTATTTGTATATTTCATTTAAAAGTATGCGGTCGTCAAGTTTAACATTGTACAGTGGCTGTCAATGCGACAAAGGAAATCGGTGAAACGCATCGTTGCAACGGCCACAAAAAGACCGGTGTTTGGTGATGGTGATCGTGAGGTGATGGAGGAGAACTGTACCATGCGGCCGTGTAGCACGGATTTTAGCATAGCCGCGATTATGTCTAGGCATGGACGNATAAAACTCAATATGGCTCGCTATTCAAAACACGAAAACGAACAACTTGAACAAATTTATGCTACAGTTTGTGATCATTAAAATCATTTTACCCGATATGTACATTTTGATTACATATTATATCAATTTTAAATCCTAATAGTAATACGGTGAATTAATTGAAAAACTAAGGTAGGAATATTGCGCCTGTTTTCTTCCATTTAGTGGTTGTCCAGCTTTGAGACGCGAAAAAAATTACGTTTTAATAAGGCAATATCGATAAATTATTTCATAATTTATTGCTAATATTTTAATTGTTTTTTTTTATCCATAAGCTAATTATATGGATCGTTTTTTCTATAAAATATATTGAAGGCAAATATATCTACGGATTTTGCTAGTTTTCGTCAACCAAAAGCTAGTTGTCATCGAGATATAAACCCGTTTTCGACCACTAGGTACCTTGATAAATAGAAAATTGCGAAATAGGAAAAAATATACTTCATATAAGAAAATAATACAGATTGTAAATTATAACACAGCATTACAGTTAATAAAATACTTTTTTACTAATTTCTACACAGCGAGAAAAACGCAAGAGTCATATATTGAGAAAATTCAATATCAATCCAATAATTTTTGTAAAAGAGAAACGGAAGCGGTATTGACAAAACAGTAGTTTATGAGTTGTCAAAAAATATGGCATTCCTTTAAAAAAAGTACCTATCCCAGTTCGAAACAATTTATCCTGGAAGTGGTAGATTTCAATGAACTTCAAAAGAAAATGTCTGCGTTAATAATGGAAATTCTTCTACAAGCTATATGTGAAAATAGCACGCCTGTGTGTGCCTTTGTTTCGGAGATATTCAAAATGACGCAAAGCACTGCAACAGCCTATTTATTGATTTGGTGCGTTTTTTATCGAAATTTATAAATGTTAGACATAATATACGGCTGACAGATAGTTACAGATAGTTGTAGATGAATAGCTTTAAATAAAATGGTAGCGCTATTGACAAAACAAAATTGCATAAAAATAAATAGAAGTAAAACCAAAATAGTGGTACGCAAGGGAAGAAAAACTAGTGAAAGAGCAAATATAAAGATAGGAGACGAAAAATTAGAAGAAGTGGCTGATTTTAGGTATCTAGGAAGTCAGATAAGTCAGGACGGAAGGAGTAGTAGAGATAGCGCAGGGTCGAGTCGCCTTCAATAGAAAGAAGTCATTTTATGCTCGCGAACTGTTAATTTAGAAATTCGAAAAAATTTGTTAAAGGTGTATGTTTGGAGCGTGGAGTTGTACGGGTGCGAAACATAGGCGGTGGGCGCGGTGGAAAATAAAAGATTAGAAGCGTTCGAAATATGATATATATTTAACAGAATAGGAGAACAGGGGACTTTATGGAAGTCAATAAAAAATAGGTGAGATAGGCTGGTAGGACACCTTCTCAGGCATGTGAAGGTCTTATCAGAGACATATTAGAGACAGAAACGGCAGTTAGAAAGAATAGAGGTAGTCCTAGATTAGATTACTATAGGATAGGAAAGAGTGGAGGTGCATGTTAAACCAGTCTAAAGACTGACGGCTTTCTCATGATGATGATAGGGTTAAGAAAGTGGTATTTAAATTTAACGAGGAACTCAAAAGTGTCATTTCCATTTGAAAACATGAAATTAGGTTGCCTCCAGGAAAAGTGGGACACTCTGTAGGTATAATAGAAAATAATTTTAGCATATGGAGGAATATACTTCTATGGTACCACTTTTATAAGAAACATTTTTTGATATCTTCAACTGTAAAGCAGTTATTGAGAAAACGCGCTTGCTTGGTAGCCCCTGTGTATCAAATACTACAGATTCTTTCTCATTAATTTCAGTTAGCCTATTATGGATAAAAATTGAGAATGGA